AAATGTAGCAGGTAGCACTGTTAGACGTAAATGTAGCAGGTAGCACTGTTAGACGTAAATGTAGCAGGTAGCACTGTTAGACGTCAAATGTAGCAGGTAGCACTGTTAGACGTAAATGTAGCAGGTAGCACTGTTAGACGTAAATGTAGCAGGTAGCACTGTTAGACGTAAATGTAGCAGGTAGCACTGTTAGACGTAAATGTAGCAGGTAGCACTGTTAGACGTAAATGTAGCAGGTAGCAATGTTAGACGTAAATGTAGCAGGTAGCAGACATTGCTAGACTTAAACGTAGCAGGCACTACGTACTGTAACGTATCACACCAAAGATACAGACGGAAAAAAAAAAGTAATGCTGGAGAGAGAATTAAAAAAAAAATCACATGAGAGGCTTATCGTGGCAGCCACTCACAACTTGGTCAACAGAGCTTCTGAAATTTCACCTTTTAAGCACAAACTCCAGAAGTAAGGGCATTAAAACAGTCGTAACTGCTGGAGGTTGAGAGGCGAGGTGGCTGAAGGTGTCGTAAAAATGGGGACGCTGCAAGACGTCAGAAACTACTGCAGTCACAGTTTGTAAGGAAGAAACAATCACTTGGAGAGTGTACAAACTGCTACAGGGTGCACTGTAAGGAGAAAGTACTCAAGCTATAGGGTGCACTGTAAGGAGAAAGTACTCAAGCTACAGGATGTACTGTAAGTAGAAAGTACTCAATCTACAGGGTGCACTGTAAGGAGAAAGTACTCAAGCTACAGGATGTACTGTAAGGAGAAAGTACTCAATCTACAGGGTGCACTGTAAGGAAAAGTACTCAAGCTACAGGATGTACTGTAAGTAGAAAGTACTCAAGCTACAGGGTGCACTAAGAAAGTACTCAAGCTACAGGGTGCACTTTAAGGAGAAATTACTCAAGCTACAGGGTGTACTGTATGGGGAAAGTACTCAATCTACAGGGTGTACTGTAAGTAGAAAGTACTCAGGGAGTACTGTAAGGTTGAATGGTTCAACTTACCATGTCAAGACCACTCAACTTCGAGTGTGCTAATAGGAACGCAGGATTTATGAAGGAATCCCTAATCTTGTATGGTACCCTGGTGTAGCCGTGTGATATTATTTAACTGATATTCACCACTGTAAATACTTTTAGGAATTTTTCAAGTTGCATAATATTTATCTTCAGTGGTATGTGCTTCGGTATACTAACACTGGGAAATACAGCAGTGAACAGTATGCGGTATTATACATAAGTAATAAGGTCATTAAATTTGTACTAATAAAAAGTAAAAACAAGAATTTAAAAAAAGACATAAGACAGGGTCACTGGGTTTAATTTCTCTCATAAGTATTGAATATTTTTAACTGGTAGTAAATACGTTACGCGCATGCTTTATGACCGTCATATAGTCGATAGGCTTTAAAACCAATTAACCAACTAATGTAAGAGAGTATATACACTGCGAAGCCCTTCTCTCTTTCTCTCTCTCTCTCAGTATATATGCAGTTTCCTTTAATCTCTGTTTTTTGGGATTAAAGTATTTTTTATTGTAGTGAAGAGGTTCCAAGCAGCCTTAATGACCCTAGTGTAGTCTATAGTTTTAAACACAGTTAATCAACCTAAGAGATAATTATATTTGGGTCTCGAGTTGTGTGTGTATATACAATGGTTTACTTTATCACTCATTTAGGGATTTAAAGTATTTTGGACGGCCTAGGAAATACAGGTTTTCACGCAGGCTTAATGAGCCCCATGTAGTCGACAGGTTGAATTAAAACCAATTAACTCACTCAAGAGGCAAGGATATGTACACCGAGATCTCTCTCTCTCTCTCTCTCTCTCTCTCTCTCTCTCTCTCTCTCTCTCTCTCTCTCTCTCTGTACATACATTGAGAGTTTACATACATAAAAAATATAATATTACTGTATAAGCTAACTGTACATCTATTATGATTAAGTTTATAGCTAAACTAGGCATTAACATACACTACACACACTCCAGTTAAGATATATTATCCACAATGGGGGTCAAAGAAAGGTTAAGTAGCAAGAGTACACACATATATCTTTACTCGAGTAGCTAGTAAACTTACTCAGGTATACACAAATACAGTTATATAGATTATCATACATAGCAGCATATGTATAGAGAACCTGGGATAACCCAAAAAAGTCAGTCAGAGTGACTTATTTCTATTGGAGCTAAACTTTACAATTGTTACTTAGATGTCCTCACATCTTGTGAAAAGATTCTCATCTTACGAGTCAATTGAATTCAGGTTTATGTTGATAATGACAAAGTTCTGTTATTGTAATGTATTACAGTAACATACCAGTAACATATTACAGTAATACACCAGGGACATGTCTACGGAAAATAGAGCCTATGGGAAGCACTGAAATTTCGCCCATCTCCAAACATCTGACACCCATCTTTTACCTTTACCATAAAATTAGCTCAAAAATACAAATCAAATTCGTTAATCAATTAGCAAATTATGACACTATATGAAAATTACAACTGCACCTTCCTTGCTTTCACTGATGCAAATTGGTCTATGATGTGTTCAAATTCATTTTTTTTTTAAGTTTCCTCTCTTTTTACACTCAGCAGAGCATGATCACAATCTGCCTTGACCCACGGAGGCTCTCAAATACGAAAGTATTAGTTTTAACTTGCTGAACGATCTCTCACAGCTGGCGATGGAAACTGCGATGGTTAGCGTTATTTGAAAAGCAATATGAAGTTTAGGAAAGTTGGGAAAGACGCTCTCCTCTCCACTCTGAACAATAAATTCGAGCTCTTCAGGTCTTGATATTTTCATGTTGCCCCAAGTTGATAGTAACATTCTGCAATCCCAAATTTCATATTGCTGCTGTTCATCAACATCAGAGCTGTACAATTCGCCCAAATTTTCGTTCGTCTTTACGTCGTCATTGTCGGCGCCGTAACACAGTCCCTCGACATCAAAAAGGAACCCAAACTTGGCGTCAGTGCCAGGCAAACGAGCGAACCTTTCATCCATTTCTCTGTGAAGACGGTAGAGTGTTTTCTTCAAGACTCTTTCCATTTCCTTCTTGGCTGTTAACCCAACGTTTCTCGAGTTCTCATCAGCCATTAGTTTCTTTCGCCTCTGAAGTCTTTCAGCTTCAGTATTCTATTCTTGACAGAGACCGTGACCTTCGAGTGACTCATTGTTGGTCAGTGAGGGCTTTCAAATCCAGGGTAGCATCGTGGAAGTTCATGCTAGGATCCTGCAGCTTCTTTTGAATGCAGTCAGTGTGAATGAGTACTTTATTCCAAAATCCTAGCAAAATCAGAAAATCGTAACTCAACATTGTCTGTCATGTCCTAGAAAACTTGAAGTATCTCCTCAAGGTACTTGTTGATGGGCTTCACTACTTCTGTCCTTGCACTCCACCTGGTTTCGTACTCCGATTTAACAACTATAGGCACAGCGTTTTTTAGTTTTCCCAGCGCTTTGTTGAACGAGAGAAGAACACGTAGAGAGCTTTGATGGCTCCAAAAAACAAACTTGTAGCAGATGTAGGCGACTCAATGGAACGTGTGATGAATGGTTTGAAAAACCGACAAGTTGAAGATTGAGACACTTATGCAGCATATGGGAATCTTTATTCAGGAAACGTTTTGTTGGCCCTTCATAACCTCCAACAGCACTACACTTTGAGCTTAGCTAAAAGGTCGAGAAACGATCCCCAACAGCAACAACACGGACTTTTGTGCCAGCCTTCGTCAAGTGTAAAAGTCTCGCTCTCGCCTGAACATCAGTGACAAATCTTTCCCGTTCTCTCTGGGTCACGCTTGTCTTCATCGTACTTTGTTCACTGGGCACGTTACAGAGCGCGCCTTTCATCTGCCTAATTTTAGTCAGCTCCATTTTTCCGCTCTACAGATAATTCTTTAACGGTTTTGGTGAAAAGCCAGTTACTGAACTCAGGTGAATATGTGGTCGTCCCGCTCTGGTGTGTCTTGGCGAGGTTGTTCCACCGGGTCTACTGGCAAACTTCTAGTTTTTATGTATATTTACAAAACGACCCCTGCTTCCGTTTCTTTCATGGTTCAGTTTTGGACACTATATCTTCTCTGTTTAATGTTTAATGCTCTATAAATATATTATTGTGCCTACTATATTTATAGAACATTAAACTCCAATATACCTCAGCAATAAAGAAGTGGAACAAACTGCCTGCACATGTCAAAGCCTGTCATAGCATAAGCCAGTTTAAGAAGAGAGCCAAAAGGTATCTAACGAATGTAGCTACAGAAAGGGAGGAGAGGGATTTCTTGTATAGCTAACATACATGTACCTATTAGTGTGATTTGATCCTCCACCAAACCTCGGTGACCCGTGGCAAAAGCTCTCATTTCACACGGTGAGGTGTTCGGGTTCGATTCCCGGTGAGGGTAGAAATATTGGGAGTGTTTCCTTACACCGGTTGTCTATGCTCATCCATCAGTAAAATGGGTGCCTGGGTGTTAGTCGACTGGTGTGGGTCGCATTCTGGGACAAGGACCAAATTTGCCCGAAATGCTCTGCTCTATATAGTAGTATGTCATTGATGTCAGCCTGACATCAATGACATACTACTATACCGGTATACAGGCCCTGACATTGTCAGGGCCTGTATACCGGTAGCTCGGTGGCTCAAGCTCCCGCTTCACACACGGAGGGCCGGATTCGATTCCCGGCGGGTGGAAACATTTCGACGTGTTTCCTTACACCTGTTGTCCTGTTCACCTAGCAACAAATAGGTACCTGGGTGTTAGTCGACTGGTAAGTAAGTAAGTAAGTTTGTTCAGGTATACACAAATACAGTTACATAGAATTATCATACATAGCAGCATCCTGGGGGACAAGATTGAGGATCCCAATGGAAATAAGTTAGACAGTCCTAGATGACGCACTGACTTTCTTGGATTATTCTGGGTGGCTAACCCTCCGGGGTTAAAAATCCGAACGAAATCTATATGTATTTATTTGTCCAGCGGGAATCAGGGCTGGAGACTGTAAGCTGTCAGTAGCCCTTACAAACAAAACAACAAGAACAACAGCAGCGTAGTAATCCTAAGTTTTTATTTAGGTTTGTTACTTAACATACAGATAAATATAATTCATTTTTAACATTCCGTAATTAGTATTCATATTTGTGTATTAATATATAATGTGCAAGTCTTTACAGAGAGTATGTTAATATTAGCTAATATAAATGTACTCTCATGTGATCATGATGACTTGCTGACTATATACAATATCAATGACGTAAATTAGTTAGAAGGATAAGATAAAATTTTGTTCGTATTTTTAACCCAGGGAAGGGTTAGCCACCCAGGATAACCCAGGTCAGTACTCCATCGAGGACTGTCTGTCTTATTTCCATCGTGGTCCTATAATCTTGTCCCCCAGGATGCCACCCACACCAGTGAAAGACCCCAATGGAAATAAGGCACTTTGACTTTTTTTTTTTTTTTGGGGGGGGGAGGTTATCCTAGATAATCAATACATATGCTGCTATGTATGATAATTTATGTAATTGTATTTATGTGTATTTGTACCTGAATAAATTTACTTAACTTACACCCAAGCACCTACTTACTGCTAGGTGAACAGGGACATCAGGTGTAAGAAAACATGTCCAGTGTTTCCACCCGTGCCGAAAATTAAACCATGGACACCTCGTTGTGCGAGTTTAATGCATTGTCAACGTGTTGTTTGTGACATAATGATTGATGGGAGGAAGTCATATTGGGATTATTAACCTAGAGTGTTACTAACCTAGGATAACCCAACAAAGCCACCATCATGTTAATGCTGTACAATACTGACAAGTTGTTGAATATGAGACATCTGTAGCACTTGTCTATCTATTGCCAAAACTTTCAGCCTGCACATCATTCTTCAGTCAAATACTACAGGAGAATACAACATTTGGGACAGTAGAGGTGGAGGGGTCATTTTGAGGTGATTAGTTCCCCAATCTTGATGGATGGTTGTCATCACCTAAGTCTGAAGTAGAGGCATGGTACCTGACCTTATGTACTGGAGCAGAAGTGAGGTATAGTAGCTGGAGACGACATTACAAGTGAGTGGGGCCCACTAGTGAAAATAGGTCATGCTAAACATTTGTTAACAGTAGAGTTGGTGATGGCACTCCCTGTACTGAGATACCCTGATGTTGTGTCATACAAGTTATACTTGTCAGACAGCATACTTGTCTGATATAGCATACTTGTCTGACATAGGATACTTGTTTGACAGAGCATACTTGTCTAGCACAGCATACTTATCTGCACTTTTGTTCAGGCAAAACTTTTTTAAGCAATGAAGATATCTAAGTGTTGCCAATAGATCTTATCCATCAAAGTCACTGGCATCACATTCTGGCTAATTTTACCTGAGCCCTTTCACCCTCTACCCCCAGGACACCACTATACAACAGTTGACTAACACTCGGGCACCTGATTTACTGTTAGGTAAAGAGGGGCAACAACTGTGAGAAGACATCCCAACAGTTTCCCTCATCCAGGAACCAAACCCTGGTCCTTCATATGTAAACTGAAATCACTACCAATTGATCTGCAAACACCTATAGACTACATGTGTTCCCATGAGACAAAGAATGTATGACTTACTAACAGAGTAAACCCTTCATATGACAGACATCAATATAACAGACTTCGATCTAACAAACTTAAAATTATGGGCAAAATTCATAGGGTAAATTGTACTTTTAAGTCTTTTAGTTTCACTGTTCATTGCAGTATATCTGTAAGTTGTGTATACAGTAGAGCACTATAGTTTTTTTTTTTTTAAACAATATTCTGATTTAATGGCACTCGGGAATCTCAACTGTTAGTCATTTTATTTAGGTTTATGCAATCTTGTAAGGAATTCATGTGATATCACATATTTTTTAATTGTTTAAATAAATATGATAATACAATTTGTGATATTCATGTATATAATATGTTACACAACCTGGTTAAGATGCAGGCACTGTACTCCATTTCCAGGTACTCGAGTCACTACGGTTCCTAAATCTTCATAAAGTGTTATCTTGCTCACACTCAACAGCACTCTCCATGCACACTTCTATCTACACACTCTCACATGTTTGCTGGAAGGCCAGGCCCTCCACTGAAACTACCTTTAACCCCTCCCTCCAACCTTCCAGGCCAACCCCTTACCCTCCCTTACCCTCCACTACAGTTTATACACCTCGAAGTATTCTTTCTGTTCCAGCCTCTCTACCATGTCGAACTACCTCAACAACCCCTCTCCCCACTGGATAATACTTTTGGTATTCGACTTCTCATCCCTACTGTTCCGTAATATACTCACACCAACATCCCTAGCAGAAATTTTTCTCCGACTGCCTCCTTTCCTAACATCCCACATTATATTCACACCCACACATTGGCCCTTAGACAAGACATACGGCCACTGCCTCCAGCCTTCTCCTGTGCCAACATTCAACCACCCATGTTCACACGCATATAAGAGGTTTGGGTGTAAACTATTACTTTGATAATTCCCTTGCTTTTGCTTCCATAGCTAATATTCTTTGTTTCCACAGACTCGTCATTGCACCACTCACTTTTTTCCCCTCGTCAATTCTATGATTCACCTCATCTTTCATAGTTCATCTGCTGACATGTCCACTCCCAAATGTCTGAATACATTCACCTCCTCCATGCTCTCTCCCTTCAATCTGATATCCATTCTTTCATTGCCTAAATTTTTTGTTATCCTCATCACCTTACTCTTTCCTATACGTATTCACTTTTAATTTCCTTCTTTTACATACCCTACCAAACTCGTCCACCATCCTCTCCAACTTCTCTTCTTCTTTTTGATATGTTCAGGTAATAATGAAAGACAATCTATAACAATTATGAAGCATATGTACGGTAATTTCAGTACAGTGGTACCTTGACTTACGAGTTTAATTCATTCCGTGACCGAGCTTGTAACTCAGTTTGCTCGTACTGTATATCAAATCAATTTTCCTCATTGAAATTAATTGAAATGCTGTTAATCCATTCCAGCCCCCAAAAAACCACCCCAATTTTTGGTTACGGGTTTTTAAATAAGAAAATGTATTTATATACAAGAAATATTGTATACTTCACCCACCACCTTCACTACTCCACCTACCACCATCTCTACTACACCCACCACCATCTCTACTACTCACCATCCACTCCACCACCATCTTCACTACACCCACCACCCTCACTACTCCACCCACCACTTCATACCCACCCCCACACTTCACACACAACTTACCACCATTTCTACTACCACCAGCCACCCTCACTACTCAACCCACCACCATATCTACTCCACCCACCATTATCACTACTCCATCCATTACCATCACTACTCCACCCACCACTATCAGTGCTCCATCCACCACTATCACTCTTCCACTCACCACTATCACTCTTCCACTCACCACTGTCAGTACTCCACCCACCACCATCACTACTCTACCCACCACTATTACTACTACACCAACCACCATCACTATTCCATCAACCACCATGACTACTCCCCCTGCCACTATCAGTACTCCACCCACCTTAATGTTTCTGGAAAAACTCTTGAGTGTTGAAATGAAGGTTACCTCTTCCCCGGATTTATACGAGAACCACACAAGGGACGAGGTGCCTCACTACAATCTGGGATTAGTGTTGGAGTATTATTCTTCCAGTTATATACACCACCAACTAGTGGTGGAGTATCTGAAGCTCGCTCGTGGCTTGGATTTTGGCTCGCAACTCAAAGCAAAAAATCGATTGAGCAACAGCTCGTAACTCGGAAAACTCGTAAGTTGGGCACTCATAAGTCAAGATACCACTGTATAGTGTTAAATAATTCTAACTCATTAAACTGAGAAACAGATTGTTTGTGTACCTCTTTGTGTATGTTGTTGATTGATCTGTCAGAAATTTTAGAGGTAACAAAAGTCCAATCCAAAATGTGTGTTCAGTATTTAAAGTGAGTCTCTGCATATTTTGCCTTGCAAATCACAAGAAAAATCAATAATATTACAGTAGTTGTAATATATATCACTAAAAAAGTCAGTAATATTTCAGTAATTGTAAAACAAATCACAAGAAAAGTCAGTACATGTACTGTAATATTATAAAAACTAATCAAATCACACAAAGTCAGTACGTAGTAAAAATCACGTCAGTACAGTAATATTAAAGTGCAGTAACTATAAAATAGAAACTGATACAATCATAACAACATTTGATAAAAATCATAGACAAAACTATTGTAATAATGTGGGTACAGCTACTGTAATAGTTCCTTGATGCTTGTGAGAAACTCTTGATCTAAGGAAGTGGAGCTGTGCTCCCCTTCCTAAGATTGAACCTGAATGCCTCTCATTCTCCTAGGTGCTGCTTGACCCCTGTGGGTTTCACACTCCCCATGGATGTAATAATAATATAATAATATTATAAGGCAGATTTCATAAATTCATGTATTGTATAACAAAGTTTGGATGCCAGTTTCACATTGCTCATTGGTCACATGTAGTGTAGCATTAATAGTGCAGCATTATTAATGCTGCACATATAAATACCCACTGGTTTATTGTAAGTATACCTGAATTGCAATATAAAACTCTGGTCTTTTCCCATGTATGATATAAAAATAGATAATGCAAAACTCTGTAATGCCATAGAAAACAAACTACTTTAGTCAATAATAGTTAACTATAAGATATATGGTATACATATATGATATGGTGTTACACTTATGGTATCTTGTTTTTTAGGTGTAACACAGCTGTGCACACTTCAGACAGTAAATAGAGATCAAGAGAAGTCAGATGTCTCCCAGAAACATATTGCTTCTCTCCAACTCCACCATCCATGGTAGCGGTTACTTGGAGTGGGCAGCACAGTATATTAAGGAGTTTTTGATCAGGTAGTAGTTTATCCATGGTCTGCAGTATTGATTTCCAGTTTCATAGTAAGTTCTTCAGTTATGGTCACATTGTGACCAGCATTATTCAGCAATTTCCAAATTTCAAAACTTGTGAATTTGTTTATTGTTTACATAACTTACAAGAGAATAAAAAAAAAAAATTGTCAGCAACTGTAGTGGCTAACTAATTGCAATATTCTCATTATGTACTGTAGTACAGTATATACATTTGATGGAAGACAGTCTGGCCATCATCTGGAGACAATCTTGCTGGTACTGCAGTGAATGTAGTTTTCAACAAGATGATTAATAACACTCATCAATAATATCTAATCTACCAGTACCACCAAAAATATTTGTAAAAATGATTCATAAGCAGCTGTACGCATAGGTAACCAAATATAATATGAAGATTGAGACACTTATGCAACATATGGGAATCTTTATTAAGGAAACGTTTCACCACACAGTGGCTTCACCAGTCCAATACAAAGCAGAAAGGTGGGGGATTAAGGAGAGGAGGAGTTTGAGGTAATCAGTCCCTCAGTCAGGAATCGATGTAATCAGTCCATCACTCTTGTAGAAAGTACAGCATATGACCGGAGAAGTGGCTTATACATACCGTAGTCAGGTGAGTCAAAGCAGGAGGAGGAGTATTGAAGAATTCCTTGTATCAAGATCCCATGATGTTGCAGTGTCTAACAGGTTTGATAAATGGTTTTCAGAACCATTTATCACATCTGACTAAAACTCATATCGCGAGTTTTGGTCATAATTTGAAATGTGCGTATTAGCAGAACGCCATAAAGCAAAATGCCATAAAGTGGGGCCCTGCTGTATTATATTACAGTGTTAGCTTTAGTTTTTTCTTATCAATTCATATCAAAAGACTATAATTGTGGAATAGCTTACCAGGCTTATTAAATAATTTTAATATATTTAGTAAAGTTTTTCTTCTTCTCTTTTTTAGTAATTGTATACAGGAGAAGGGGTTACTAGCCCATTGCTCCCGGCATTTTAGTCGCCTCATACGACACGCATGGCTTACGGAGGAAAGATTCTTTTCCACTTCCCCATGGACAATAGAAGAAATAAAAAAGAACAAGAGCTATTTAGAAAAAGGAGAAAAACCTAGATGTATGTATATATATATATGCATGTGCGTGTCTGTGAAGTGTGACCAAAGTGTTAGTAGGAGTAGCAAGATATCCCTGTTATCTTAGCGTGTTTATGAGACAGAAAAAGAAACCAGCAATCCTACCATCATGCAAAACAATTACAGGTTTTTGTTTCACAGTCATCTGGCAGGACGGTAGTACTTCCCTGGGTGGTTGCTGTCTACCAACCTACTACTGAAGGAGGGGTGTTAATGTTGCAGTTTAAAAACTGTAGTGTAAAGCACCCTTCTGGCAAGACAGTGATGGAGTGAATGATGGTGAAAGTTTTTCTTTTTCGGGCCACCCTGCCTTGGTGGGAATCGGCCGGTGTGATAAAAAAAAAAAAAAAAAAAAAAATATTTAGTAAATCCTAACACCTCCTTATTACCTTATTACTGCATTATTATTCTCTTGAAGTTAAGTTTCATTCTAACATTAAATATTAACCCCATTCACTGTCAGTCACGTAGTTCTATGTCAGTGGGATCACTGTCACAGATGTAGATCTATGCATGATTCATAGCACTCAAATATGCTGTGAGCAGCAAATTTTGTTCTAGACGTGAGAGAATAGGTCTGTGTGGTAAGTGTGCACAACATAAAAAAAAATCTGGCCTCAATCAGTTCATGATGAGAGCAGCTGACCTCTGATCTAGTGCTTGGCTTAAAACAGTAACTTTGGCATAATTTCCTGGAAGATATAGTATTGAATTGGAGAAGATTTTAGTCAGTTTCAGATCAGACGAAAAGGAGTCTGAAAGAGGCTTCAAAATGGCAGAAATGTCAGTTTTGGACAATTTTTCTGAAAAAGGGTCTGGGAAGGGGGTTGCTATCTTCCACAGTCTGTTTAATGGGTTTTTACTAGGTCTGCTTCAATTATTTGGATGGCTTAAACCTTGACCAAGTATTTTTGGTTATGGTTTGTTAGTTGAGAAATAGGGGAAACACGTTTATATTTTGTGCAATGATGGATTCACAATGGAGGACAAGTGTTTATAGAATATGTTTGGGAATGTGAGTAATGAGCAGAGGGAAGGTTACTTTAGTGGCTGGAATGTCTAAGGTGTTTATTTTTATATTGCAGTTTGTTGAAAATACGTATTGTGAATTTGGCTAAATTACCAACATCTCATAAAATGCATTAATAGGGGAGAAGGGGTGTCCGCTTTAGTGAAAAATCTGTTAAATTGAAAGCTTCAATTAAGCAGATGTAGTCTGTTTAACCAATTGACTACTTAGTTTGTTGCATTGAATGACTCCTGAATGCATTAAGAATAAGCTCGAGTGCAATGTAGTAGTATTACATGTAAATGTACCTGAAAGGAAAATAAGTTAAAATTACAACACCGTACAAAACAGTAGAGACAAGCATAGTAATTTTTCTTATCTTTTCTGGTGGATAGATGATCTTACAGATGTACAATTTAGTACAGTATACAAATAACCTGCACATTGGAAAATGAAAGTTATGACAACATTTTGGTCTGACTTGAACTATTGAACAGTGGGCCAAATTAGACCAAAATGTTGTCATGCATTTCATTCTCCTGTGCAGGTTATTTGTGTATTGTTCCAGTCACAGTATTGAGCCTTTTTTTTTCAGTATAGTACAGTAATCCCATGTGGGTGAGGGGTGACCCAGAATAACTTATTCTGAGGCAGAAGACCTGTAAAGTTCCAGTAGTAACATTGCAAATGGTGTGGGAGACAGACAGGTAGATCATACCATTTATGCAATGCTGCTTCAACCCTTGTATTTTGAGCCATTTTCATATGTTTTAAGGAATAACTGAAGACCCTTTTAGGCTAGCATTTACACTATACGTACTTCATAGCATATTGTATAAGCCTTACCTTGCTTCTAAGAATGTCACACTGTTTTGGTACACCATACTCCCCACACACCTGGGCCACTTAAGCACCAGCCTCCAGCTTTCCTCTATTGCACCAATAATAGTCTTAGAATTTTTTCTCGCCCAATTGTTACATTTTCCTGTGTTCATGTGCGCCTGCAGTCTCTTAGATTATTCACCATGCAGATCCCAAGTACCATATGGCTGCTTTGTCTACATTTGATAAAGTTCTTTTGTCAACATGAAAATCTCACCAGTTTGTGTTCAGAGTGGTTACCTTGGTTAATGTGAATAGTTGAACCTATGTTGTATTTCTTTGGGAACTTAACAACACTCTCAACACCCATGATTTTAGTGGCTCAACTCACTTTTATGTCCTCTTACCAGATTAACAGACTGTTAAATGCTCGTGCTTTATATAAAAATTACAGTGTAAACTGTTTATAAAGAATATTAGTGTGAATACAGGAAACACAGGATATAAACAAAATAGTTGTAAGAAAGAAAGTTTGATTAACAGAACAGTGGAAGAGCGCAAATACATGTACATTTGGTTTATTAATTATTATATACAAGCTAGACTAGTTGAGGGTGAAGCCTTATACATTTAAAACATAAAAACTACAACAGGTTGATTGCCTCAGAAGACTAATGAGCTGAACAAGAAATCTACACTATACTTCTACTGTTTTTTTTTGCTGTGTTCTACCCCATCCTTCCTGTTAATTGTTTATAAATCATGTTTACCAGTTTTGTGAGTGAAGAAACATTGGTGTTACAGAGATTCTTACTTTGCAGTTACAGTAGGGCCCCGCTTTATGGCATTTTGCTATTATGGACATTTCAAATTATGACCAAAACTCGATATATGGCTCCCCCCACCTGTCTTTCTAATATGGTTACTGCGCCCCAACCGGTTTGTTTACATTCTCCGTGAGAGCTCCTCTCTATTATGTCTGGAAACTTTCTGATAATTAAATTTATGTGTACCTGTCCCTAAATATGCTTACACACTGTGCTGGCATGCAGGTACGCATTAAAATCACTAAGAGTCTCTTTACTCTTGAAGATGCCATATTAATAATAATAATAATCTCTTGCACCCATTAAATGTCATATATTATGTTACTATAGACATTTCCATTAATCCACCTATGATATTTTTTCCAAATTATATAAGAAAAATGTTACATAACACATAAACATGATACATACACCCACAGTATAAAAATTTATATAAATATAAGGTGTTTACCAAGTGGTTTGTAGGATTGTTGGTAGAATTACATTTTCTCTAGTCCAACACCAGTTGCTGGGGGATAACTGTAGAAAAATATTCCTTTCATATGCCTTCACTCTATCTATAGCTATTCATGACCCTTGTGGATTTAGCCCTTCTTTTTTATTATGATTATGATAATAATAATAATAATAATAATATCATCATTCACTCTAAAAATGGTGTGTTGCATGAGAATGGGAGTGTTGCTGTTTATTTATTATTCTGTACTAACTTGTACACAATGTAAGAGTATACTGTATTTGTATTGTGATTTAATTATTATTATAATAAAAAAAATATTGTGAGGTAAAAGTTTCACAAAGTCTCACAGACGTACATGAATTAACTAAAATTGGACACATATTAATACGTGTTTATTTTGCCTGACCGAGTGCTCATTCACCACCCGTTCGGTTTGTGTTTTTACAGTGTCTGAACTCCATGTATCTCGCTCTCTCTCATTTACTCTTTAGATAAATTGGTTTGCTCTTGTTCACGATGTGGTCTAAGCTTAGTTGTGATAAAAAGAGGAGTCGTAAGTGTCTTACTTTAAGTGCCAAGTTAGAAATGATTAAACTTAGTGAACAAGGTATGACAGTGGCTGAGATAGCACGTAAGCTTGGTTTGGCTCGTCAAACAGTTAGTACAGTTGTGAACAATAAGGAGAAAGTGTTGCAGGAAATTAAAAGTGCTACACCAGTGACCATTAAAGTTTTAAGAAAATGTGATAACTGTATTGCTGATATGGAAAAACTTTTAATGATGTGGATTGATGATCAGACTAGCCTTTAAGCTGAGCCATTATCCAGTCCAAGGCCCCTAAGTCTCTTCAATTCTGTGAAGGCTGAAAGAGGTGAGGAAGATGCTGAAGATAAATTCGCAGCTAGCAGAGGCTGGTTTAACCCTTTCAGGGTTTCCGACATACTAGTAAGTGTTATGCACCAGGGTTATTGACGTTCTAGTACGCGTAAATTCTAGCGTCTTCAAATCTAGCGAGAGAAAGCTGGTAGGCCTACATATGAAAGAATGGGTCTATGTGGTCACTGTGCACATTATAAAAAAAGTCCTGCAGCACAAAGTGCGTAATGAGAAAAAAAGAAACTTCGACCGCATTTTTGGTTTAAAACAGCGACTTTGCATTGTATTTTCATACTGTATTTATGGTTGTATTCTAGTTTTCCTTGTCTCATTTTATAGAATGGAAGACATATTACAGAAATTGAGATGATTTTGATTGGTTTCACAATGAAAAGTACCTTGCAGTTGAGCTCTAAGTAGCAGAAATGTTCGATTTTTGCCAAAGTTCGATAGTAAACAAATCATGCCATGCGTCCAATACACATCAACTGGTGAGTCTAATATTCTTTCACAAGTGCGCTGATATTATTTATACCATTTCTACACTAATGCAGTAATCTGCATAACGGTAAATCTTCTATTTTTTTGTGAGAATAAAAATTCAAACTGAAAAGGAAAAGAAATGTAAGAGAGGCCTGGGGACATGACTAATGAACAGAGGAAATATTATTTTAGTGCCAGAAATGTCTTTCTTGTTTATTCTGGACCCTATTTGGAAATTGGTATCTTTTGAAATTTGTGAGAGATTGGCAAAATCGCCAAATTCTGACCACTTTATTGGATAGTTGAAATTGGTAAATGGGTGGTTTCTTGTACTCATTCGATAGAAAAATGGAGTTCTAGCAAAATAGTTACGATTTTTGTTGACTAGTACACTGAAATTGACTGAAAATAAGGCTCAAAGTGGGTGAAATTGCCGATGCATGAACGTCGTCGAGACTGCTAACTTCATGAGAGCATAATTCTGTAAGTTTTCAATCAAATTTCATACTTTTGGTGTCATTATGATCAAGAAAAGATTCTCTATCATTTCATAAGAAAAAAAAAAAAATTTCCGAAAAATATTCAACCCTGAGAACAAGTTTAGGAGAGAGCCTCTCGACCCTGAAAGCGTTAATAGATTTAAGGAGAGAAGTCAACTTAACAACCTCAGAGTGCAGGGTGAAGCTGCAAGTGCCAACAATTTAGCTGCAGAAAATTATCCATGTGAGCTAGCCGAGATAGTAGAATGTGGTGGGTATACCAAGCAACAGTTTTTTTAATGTGGATGAAACTGCATTATTTTGGAAGATGCCATCTAGGACATTTATTGCTAAGGAAGAGAAGTCAGTGCCTGGCTTCAAAGCTGTAAAAGACAGGCTAACACTTTTGCTAGAAGCTTCTGCAGCTGGTGATTGCAAGTTAAAACCTATGATGATTTATCACTCAGAGAATCCTAGGGCCCTAAAGAACTATGCAAAAGGTAGCCTCCCTGTTTATTATAAATCCAGTTTGAAAGCTTGGATGACTGCTGATCTTTTCATAAATTGGTTCACGGGCTATTTTAAGCCTACAGTTGAGGCTTACTGCAAGGAAAAGAAAATTCCTTTTAATGTTTTACTTGTTTTAGACAATGCCCTGCCCAGCCTACAGCTCTAAATGGTATGTACAAGGAGATAAATGTTGCTTTTATACCTGCAAACACACTTCACTACTGCAGCCGATGGACCAAGGTGTAATTGCAACCTTCAGATCTTACTACCTAAGAAGAACTTTCATTAATGCTGTAACTTTCCTAGACAATGGTAAAATGCCTGGGCCTAAACAAAATAAATTAAAAACCTTTTGGAAAGGCTTCACAATTTTGGATGGTATTAAAAATATTAGAGATGCATGGAATGAAGTTAAAGTAACTACAGTCACAGGTGTTTGGAAGAAGCTAATTCCTGAATTTGTGGACGATTTTGAAGGCTTTGAGAATCCAATGGATGAAGTGACTGTAAATGTTGTGGACATGGCAAGGGAATTAGAATTGGAAGTCGAGCCTGAGGATGTATAAGAATGGCTTCTCTCTCATGATGAGGCTCTGACAGACCAAGATCTGATTGAAGAACAAAGAAAGAAATTTCATGAAGAGGAGATCCATCCTGATGATAGTCCTGTTGCCATTAAAGAAATGAAATCCCAGGATTTGGAAGAAGCTATCAGCCATATAGAAATAGCAATGGCAATTTTTGAGAAGATTGATCCAAATTTCAAATGAAGTTCCACAGTGAATGCATCCCTTTCCCATGATGTTACATGCTGTAAAGAAATTTTAAGGGAAAGGAAAAAAAATCCATGAGGCAAAGTTCAATGCTTTCCTACTTTAAGAAAGTATCATGGCAACCTTCAACATCAGCAGCTAGCATCAACAAGAACATCAACAAGAACACACACTCCAAGAGCTTCACACAAGTCTCCAAAATGAATAAAATTAGTTGAATCAGAAGATGATGGTGTGCCATCTCATAATTTGATTCAATAAATACACTGCCACTCACCTCTCACACATATTATTATTTTAGGGTAAGTAATAAGTGCACTGTTCATATATTTTACTTTTTATTGTGTTTTTTAATGTCTAGTTCTACTGCTAACTTAATATATGTTAGTGTAAACTTGTTATCTAGCATTTATGTGCATTTATAAGTGGAAAAGAAAAAGGGTGTTCCACTTTACGGCAGCTTCCCTTTTACAGTTGTAGCCTGGAACTTAACCTGCCGTATAGAAAGGCCTCGGTGACGTAATTCTACCTTACATGACCTATGCCTGTAGTGGCCTGGTTTCATTGTTTAGTTTCTCATGTTTTTCAAAGTTTCCTTTAATTGTGGCATATACTCTACTACCTCTTTGTGTATACTATCTGAAAAATTTGTTTCTCGCATCCTTTTGCAATTTTTTTGTATTTCTTAAAGGCTATAAAATATCATCTTATTTTTATTTTCTCATCATTTCATAATCCTGTGTGTGGTCATTATGTATGTTCTTTTCCTCATATTTGGCAACATAAAGCTGCCAAATGATTTTCATACCTTGTGGTAATATGACTAATTTACAAACACTCAAAACCTCATACACCGGTAAGAATTATGTTGTATTGTGCATTGTCTGGGTTGTAAATTCATTATATTTTTGTTATTTTCATGATTTTAAAGAACTGATTCCCTCAGGAGTTAATTACTGTATTTATATTAGAGTAAGTCTTAAATTGGTTATCTAACAGAAAAATCTATTTCTCTTACTTTTAGCATAGTGTTGACTACCATCACTCCTTGAATGCTTCAGAATTTGGAAATGCAAATAATGCCCTCAGGAAAATGAGAGCCAAGTCAAGTCTTGATGTTTTGGTATCTGCAGTAGAGTGATATGCCAGGCAAGAAAATGCGATGTAATATGCACTTGTAGTAGTTTGTATGTTTAACCTTAACAGAACACTGTATTGTTGGGATTGCACTTTGTTTAGAGTAAAGTGCAGTAGTGATGACTAAGCAAGATTTCTACACTGTAACATT